TTGTGAAAATTAATTCAATTTTTGTGATTAGATTTCATTCTTTGCGACAATAAATTCAATATTGATTATCGATTCATTCAATTGCTATTATTTGGTTTACTTGTAGTCACAAGAGTTGCCGAGTGTTTGTCGAACGCCTTCTCCTACAATGTGCTCATCTGTTAGCACTTTGAATGTCTTAAGTCCTGACAATGACTTATCCCTTACTCTGGAACCGTCATCTGATTGTAAGCGTTGTTTTCTAATGAATACAGTTTTCTTAGAAAATAACATTTTTTTCAACTGATAGCCAAATCACATTCAGATAACGATAGTAAGACAATGGATCCGGAATCAAAGACATTTCGATATCACCTCTGCGCCGAAATATGCAAAACTGAGACCAATTATGTGAACATTTTGAAAGACACTCTTCTGGTATTCTTTATACAATAGACGATACAGTAGTTTAAATAAATATACATGTATTGATCGCTTTATTGTTTGTATAAGATTTTCAGAGACCCGTTGAATGATCATAAAATGGACCCTGATTTTCCTAATGAAATTGAATTGAAGACAATATTTGGTTATTTGCCGCCAATCATTGAAGTGCACGAAGAAGTTCTCAAAAAGTTAGAGAAAATTACCCAAAACTGGAATGAAGACTTGGTTTACTTGTAGTCACAAGAGTTGCCGAGTGTTTGTCGAACGCCTTCTCCTACAATGTGCTCATCTGTTAGCACTTTGAATGTCTTAAGTCCTGACAATGACTTATCCCTTACTCTGGAACCGTCTTCTGATTGTAAGCGTTGTTTTCTAATGAATACAGTTTTCTTAGAAAATAACATTTTTTTCAACTGATAGCGAAATCACATTCAGATAACGATACTAAGACAATGGATCCGGAATCCAAGACATTTCGATATCACCTCTGCGCCGAAATATGTAAAACTGAGACCAATTATGTCAACATTTTGAAAGACACTCTTCTGGTATTCTTTATACAATAGACGATACAGTAGTTTAAATATATACACATGTATTGATCGCTTTATTGTTTGTATAAGATTTTCAGAGACCCGTTGAATGATCATAGTTACCTGGGACTAAAAGGATTACTTTAACTTAACTTCTGTTATAAACCAATAAACGGCGGTTAGTAACTTCACGTGCTTCTTCAAGAGTTTTTCAATCTCTTTTAATGGGTTTTGACCTTACTTCTGAATGAAATTGGAAAAGTTTTTGTTGAACACGTGAGACAATTGACAATTTACTGAACATATTGCCACTTAAATGCTAATTAATTGTCTAATTATAGTCTCAGCAGTTTTTGACGGCAATAGGGGTTATATAATTAATAGTGCTCTTCTGGGTTCTCTACTAGCTACTTACGTAACTTTTTATAGGATTTAAATTAAGTAAGGATTTTCATTAACACTAAATGCTAACAAACACTTAAAACCATTCAATGATACATTTTTGTAAAATATTTGTGTTTTAGGTCTTAGAAGCCGACAAACGGTGTGAAAGACAGACATTAAAAGACAAACTCATAAATCCAATTCAACGGTTGCCAAGGATTGAACTCTATTTAAAAAGTAGTTTTTTAGTATTCACTACATTTAATGTACAGTAATATTGATAACAATTGATACCAAAATGTTTAGCATTAATCGACAAAACTGATGAAACAAAGTCTGATTACAAATCACTGAAAGAAGCGCTCAATAATATCATTGAAGTGAATAAGTGAGACATTACTCATACATTTGATTGCCTCAAACTTTTTAACTATATTTTCAATTTCTTAGCTAATATTTATCTGCTTATTTATGTCCTTTTCGGTTTTGACTTACAGTCTAAGTCTACAAACTATACTACTTACTGTAGCTTCTGACAGGCGGTTGAGATGACAGGAGAGTCGCGGTGAAATAAGCCAAATGTGACGTTCGGCTAATGATTCAAAGCCAAAGCTCCGAAAACAAGGAAATCAGCCCTTTTAAGGACTATTTGTTTACTTTCATGTTATTCACTGATTTGCTTATTGTAAGAATTTAGTACCGGGTATATTGAAGCAAACTAATGCTAATTATAATAATATTAATCCAATTAGTTATGCAAAAAGCGAAGCATTAAGCGAACCATTGAGAGAACCAGTTCTCTGAAAGGACCCAATAATTACTCTGTACCGGGTATATTGAAGCAAACTAATGCTAATTATAATAATATTAATCCAATTAGTTATGCAAAAAGCGAAGCATTAAGCGAACCATTGAGAGAACCAGTTCTCTGAAAGGACCCAATAATTACTCGAATTTAGCGGCAATTAAGAAGAATTGCAAAAAGGAATACAAACACATCGAGACCATTGAACTCTCTTATATCAAGTTCATTCAGAATGACGATTCCGAGGGTATGATGAAGTGTTTATTTGGTTTTATGGTTAATTAATTAATTACACAAAAGGGTTAATTAATTACATTTACCATTCCGTATATTGTTTTCAGAATATCGTAATTGTTTTGCTATAATCACTTATCCGTGGGGTTCGGATCGTTCATTCCCTACTTATCCATTTGAAGTGAAAAGTCCGGAATATAATTTGCAAACATTTATGTCTCAAATCTCGCAAACTCTTTGCCAACTATTGCCAGACGTGTCTCAAGTAATACTGAACTCAATTTAATGCTAGATATATACGAGTTGTCTCTAAAATGAATTGATTTGTAACTTAAAGGAGAATTTGATTCGAAACGAAACCAATTCTTTTAAGCGCCTGGACTTCACGTACTCCAACACAATCGCCCGCACCGTCAGCCGATCCAAGTAAGTGTTGTTTTGTTTGTCTTGTGTCTTATGAGCACTTATGGTTGACTGCATTTGTCTCTCAGATATACCATTCAAAGGACTAAAGAGAAGATAAACCGAACATTTTCGGTGAGGAGACAGGTGTTAAACCCGGCCATGTCTTTGGAGTCTCTTTCAGTGCCCATACAGTCGTCACTTCCACCTTCATCTCCCTCTTCATCGCGACGGATAAGTCACATGTTTTCTAGTTTTCTGAGTCCTATCGGTCTTCCAAATCGTAATTCGAGTCGATATTTAAGTTCAATGACTTCAATGACAAATCTGACAAATCTTAATGTGAGCTATAATTCAATGCATTCACTCATTGCATGAAACGCCCGTTGGTTTTGCTTTAATTAGTCATATCCTCTACATTACAGGAAAACTGTGGCATTGAAGTCGACAGATTGAAGTCAGAAGGGTGTTGAGGTCGCGGTGCTTTCTTCTTGTTTACGAGGCGGTTATGACTTGTGTTAAACGTAATTTATATGGTATTAAACGTAATTTATATGGTATTAAATGTAATTTATAGCCATTTTTAATATTTTTGTATCATATTCCAAACATATTTTTCTATAAACAGTTGTAAATTTTCATACATTTTATAAATCCATTCAATTTTATGCAATTTTATAACTAATGTACGGTACTATTTACTCAAAAATTACTTTTTATAATTATATATATACTGTAATTTATATTATATAAACAAATTGTGTAAATCACGATAGAATCTTAAACATATTCTTTAATAAAATGAAATGAAGCAAAAAGTAATCCTAAATTGATTTATAATTTTGAAATAAATATTTATAAAATCTATTTTGAGATTAATTACAAATTTGAATCCAAATTATGTTTAAAAGTAGAGCTAAAAACAATGGTTATCATAGAATATTCTGAACGTTGTATACTGTATTAGAAAGTAGTAGAGCTTTCTAATAGAATAGTAGATTAGAGTGTAGTGTAACTACAGAACCAAAAGGCAATTCTGGTTCAAAATAAGGCTAACAGTTCTGTGGCTTTTGTTCACTTGACTAACGTGTCTATTATTCTGTGCTGAAACGGATTGTTTGTATATTAAATAAAGAATTGCATTAAAGTATTATATATGATATTTGTATTATAAGCTACATTTGAGGACTAAATTCATAACAGTTATGTTGCCATAGGTTTATAGATTTGTCTCTGACGGTTCCAGAGTAAGGGATAAGTCATTGTCAGGACTTAAGACATTCAAAGTGCTAACAGATGAGCACATTGTAGGAGAAGGCGTTCGACAAACACTCGGCAACTCTTGTGACTACAAGTAAACCAAATAATAGCAATTGAATGAATCGATAATCAATATTGAATTTATTGTCGCAAAGAATGAAATCTAATCACAAAAATTGAATTAATTTTCACAAATGGATTACAAGAATATTTAAATTAGAAAACAATTGTTTGAATCGAATATAAGGAGAGAATCGACAGAAAACTACAATTAATTCAAATAATCATAAAGTAATTAACGAGTGATGAGACGGAGAGAGAGAGAACGCACAGAAAGGACTGGAGGACTGGTAGGACATGATTGCGAATAACAGGCGAATGACTGGTCAATGGATTGGATCACTGAACCGATTGGATCAATAGATGTTGACCTCAATGGGTCGGTTGTCTATACGAATGCCGTTCATGAGGTCGACGGCGCGCTGAGCGTCGCGTTCGGACCGGAAGCGGACGACCGCCTGTCCGTGAGCCTTGACCTCAGCAAACCTAACCTCTCCGATCTCATTGAAGCGATCCCTGAGGTTCTGCCAGCTGAAGGTCTGCGGCAGATTCCGCACTATAATCGTGTCTGAAAGGGGTTGTGCCGGTTGTGCCGCTTGTGTGCGCGCTCTCTCGTCCCGAAACTCGCGCTCATAAGTGCTGTAAAAACTGAGCGAATGATTGCCGCCATTGTTCGACGCATTCATCGCATTGTGGGGGTTATGGGGGCCCGACATCTGCATCTGGGACTGCATTTGGGACCCCATTTGAGAGCCCATTTGCGAACCCATTTGCGCCGACATCTGCTGCACCCCTGCGAGTGACTGTTGGCCCACAGAGGACAGGGAGGCCAACACGCTCTGAGCCGTATTGGCGAACGAATTCAAACCAGAACTAAGGCCAGCGTTCGAGGCGTTCAGATTGGAGAGACCGGAACTGGTGTTGTGGGTCAGGCCGGACAGTGCGTTCCGGTCGACAGTACTCACGAAGCCTGGAATGTTGAGTTGGCCGCCTTGACTCAGTTGGGAGGCGCCCACTCCTCCCACTCCTGCGTTCACTCCATTGTTGTTCAACTGAGACAACGACTGCGCGAAAGACGGCAATTGAGTGAGATTTCCGGCCAAATTTGTCAATGCATTCAGTGCTGCGTTGGGCGCCGGGACGGGAGGCGGCTGTGACTGAATGGAGGTCAACGCCGGTGCCGATGACGTGCTTAACATACTTTTCTGAATGTTCAGGGGTTGGCCACCAATGCCCAGCCCTTTGCCTACACTGTCGAGGCCTGAGGGCAGTTGCGAGGGGACAGTGGGGTCGTTGGGTTCGTCGGCCTCGTACTTATCCATTCGGACACTGAGTGCGCGGCCGAAGAGCTTCTGGTTGTGGAACATAGAGATGGCCTGAACGGCCTCCACCGGGTGCTCGAACTCGACAGTGCCGTGTCCTTTGCTATTCCCCGTGGCGTCGGTGTACAGCTTCACGTCCGTCACCTTTCCCGACAACTTGAAGATCTCCTCCAACTTGTGTTCACCCACTTTGTAGTCGAGATTCGCCACAAATATCCGGTTATTCAGCGGACCCTTCACTCCCAGCGACTCCAGAAACTGCGCGCTCAGGCCATACGTGTTGTACGACTGACTGTCGGCGCCCACGTTCACGTCGTAGGCGTCCGACCGGTACTCGCGGTCAGTGTCTCTGTCGCGACGCGACGGAAGGATGAGTCGTCCGCAACGGTCTCTCTCGCAGTCGAGGTCTTCTTTGACGACGAGTTCGCGTCCTCTGTACTCATATCTGTGGAGAATATCGATGGCCTTCCGCGCGGACATGGAGTCCTGGAACTCGACTAAACCACAGCCGCGGCTCTTGTTGTCCTCGTTCTCGAAGAGCTGACAATACGTAACGTTTCCGATCTTATCCCTGAAGAGGTCCTTCAGGTCAGACCACTTGACATCGAAGGGCACGTTAGCCACGTATACCCGACGCGACGCACGACTGTCCCGCGAGTGTCCGCCCGAGCGCTCGTCCGACCGACGGCTTACCGGAGACCGAGACCTACGCCTCCGCCCCCCCGGACTCGCCCGCCGGTCGCGCCCTCTCTCGCGGTCTCTGTCTTTGTCGCCAATCATACCATTCATTGCGCGGTCTTTCACGGCATCCATACAAACACCACTCAAACCAATCAACGCAACCAAACACCAGAGTATAGGATAATAGTGATCACAACACAACCAAACAATACAGATAGCGGTCTAGAGATCAAGTGATGGACACAACCGGCTAATGATATGACAGTCACGAAGATTACCGTTAGAAGTAGTCATTCAGTCGTTGACGCGAACACTCAATAACAATGGCTCCCAATAGACAACAGTCAGTGTCAGTCTGTGTGTGAGTGTGTGGTCTGAGGTGTGGTTACCATTGCTTACCAACCGTTTCACTGCTTTCACTGCTTGAACATGCATTCACTCCTTCCATACGCTGCCCATAGAGGGCCCTCTCATTCACTTTCTCACACGAACCATAAGTTTTGCGTTCACTGTCTGTTCATTCATTGATTGCATACTGTATGATATAATGATTACTAATTCATTGATTACCATTCAAATTGGTTGGGCATTCATGACAAACAAATAGGCTTTTACTGTTAAATGAATTATTGTAACAATTGATAAACTCTATGTATATATAGTTATATGGTTAGTATGGTTAGTATCAAACTGATTGAGTCGTTGTTTAAATGCAAACATAGATACGAAAACGGATTGTTTGACAAAGTTTTTGATAGCCTTAAGAAAAGTGCGAACCAAAGCAAACGATAGCGAAAATGACTGTCAAATGAATGTCATATTAAACATAACTTGTATTTTGACGGCTTTTTGTGCTTAAGACTCACTTTTAATAATAGATTTGAAAAGAAATGTAAAATATATGTTGATGAATGGGCGGAAGTGGTGTGAATATGGAGCAAAAAGGTCGCCCCCGGGTGGGCTCGAACCACCAACCTTTCGGTTAACAGCCGAACGCGCTATCCGATTGCGCCACGGAGGCACAGGTACGGGACCAGGGTGATTGCCCACTATACCACACAAACCATACCAAACACTTACATTTACATGGCCAAACACTTACGATAAAGTTTAGCAAACTTCTCGCAACTGCTTTCTATGACAGTTTCCAGTATACCATACAAAATATAGCAATCAATGCTAAATCAATGCTAACTTACAGTATACTGTACATTGTACAGTGTACAACTACTGTATTACAATATGTTGTGTAAATTAGTAATGAAAATGATGTAAAACTTGATATGTGTTTATGTTTTGATATGAATTGAAGTTTGAGATGAATTAATGAAAGCCTGAAGACATTTGAGTGTTTGTTAACATTTTCCTGAATGAGTGGCGCCTGTGGTGTCAGTGAATGTATTGTCAGTATTAGAGCTTATCTATCATAAACTGAAACTGGGAAGTACGCCATCTATCAATAAACAATTATTATTAACATATAAACAGTGACATGTGTTTGTCATAAGTAGTCAATATTTTAGTCAATTATATTGTGATTTATATATTGTGATAAACTGAGTGCAATATTCAGTCTTACGAACGCCACGATGTCTGGACATCAGGTTCAGCCACAACAGCAACAGTTTCTGTTGGTTCGCACTATCATCGCATCGCCCGGCCAGCAGTCGGGAGGCACTGGTTTGGCCACTACTGGCACTCCTGTTCGGTTCATTCGAGTGCCGGCCAGTATGTTAACCCATCAAAGGCTCAACAGTCCGGCCATGAATGGCGTCACAACCACTTCTACGCCCTTAACTAATTTCACAATATGTGCGACGAGTAGTCCGGCCGTCAATTCGACCACTTCTGCCACCATTTCTACCAGTGCTTCGGATCTGTTCCTCAAGACAGTCCTATCGAATACAAGTGCCAACTCAGAGCCGGCGAAGACCATCAGGACATACAGCAAGTCATCACCACCCGTAGGCTTAGAGTCCAACACATCCGCAGGCATTAGTCAACTGAAGCGGAAGAGCGAGTCGATGGCAATAACGTCGACGCCGAAGAGGAGTCGTTCGTCAGACGTCACCAGCGGTTTGGGCACAAGAATGAGACAAATGATAAGCGGAAGGAAATCCATTCGTACGGCCAAAGCGTCGGACTTCGAGTCAGACATTGACACCAATTTCACGTCCAAAAGGTTGAGTCGAAGCAACGCTGGGAGTAACAGACAGAACGATAGCTCTGAAGACACGGACGACTCGACTAAACTCATATCAAAGCGACAAAACGAAGACACGTATGAAATGGAGTCCAATAAGAAACTTAAATTTAATTCTGTGCTAACCATACCTTCACCAACTCTTACCACCACTTCTATCAATCAAATCAACAAAGAAAACATTACACCAATCCGTGGTAAAGGAATCAGATATGATTCCAAATTAAGATCAAGAATATACCACTATTACAAGCAATTACTTGACCAGAATATGGACTTCGATGAACGCATTGAGGAAGTGAGACGAGTGTATAGCGTTGGGCGCTCAACTGTATTAAGGATTTACAAGTGAGTACCAAACCAACCCCGCACCCCCATATTGACGCAAAGCTTATTTTACAGTAATGGTGATCCAGATATTGCTTCACCGAAGAAGAATCGGAATCGCAAACCGAAATTCACTTATATTGAAAGCGATTATAAAGCAATCAATGATCGCATATTTGATGGCTATAATAATAGATGTTTTCAATCAATTAATGATATATATGACAGAAGGAATAATTTAATTACAAATTGTGATAATAATGCTAAAATTAGTTTTAGTGACTGTAAAAGAAGTAAATTTTTTAAAATTGTGAAGGAAATGGGGTATAAGAAACAATGCCCTAAAAAGTTGTTTAGAGAACAGAAAATAAATAGTGAAGAAATTACGAAAATAAGAGTTAAATATTTGCAGAAAAAACAAGAATTGGAGAAAAAATATCCTTTTGTTTTTTACGATGAAACACACATTCATGTAAATACTGTTGAAAAAACAATATTATCACCA